AGCAGAGCTGTACAGCATGCAGTACAGACTGGTGTAGACAGCTGGGGCTGGGCAGGGCAAACCTGCGTCACCCTCTGACCTGGGCTCTCTTAAGTGCTGGCTCGGGGCCCAGTGAAGGAGTCCCCAGAAGCTAAGCGCTAGAGGAAGGCGGGTGGGGGGCTCACCAAAGCATAAGCTAACTTTTGTTCCTCAACTTTCCCCCCTGCCTGAGGCAGAGGAAATATGCAAAGGGGCCCGGAAGAGGCTGGACCGGATGGGGCTTTGGTGGCGCCAGGCTGACTTGGAGGGCCAAGGGGCTCGGGGAACAAGGGGCCTCTGCTGGAACCGAGAGGCCCTGGGGGACCCGCTCCGAACACAAGGGCAGTGCAGCCTCACCCCACTGTCTGGATAAGTGAAGGCCAGCAGTGTCATCCCTGGACGTTTTGTCATGGGGGTCCGGTCCGCAGCGCTGGGGTGCCTCCTCCGCGTACCTTGCTCCTCAAGCAGCTCCCAACTTTTCCCAGCCTGGGAGCCATTCCTGGCTTCCTCAGCCACCCCCTCTCAGGAAAAGTGCTGTAAAAAGAAAAAAGGGGGATGCCAGGGAGAAAGGAGGGAATAAAGTCTTTGGAAAGCAGAGGGTTTTACAACAGCCACAGGTTTTATGGAAGCAATTCCGTAATAACCTTCTACCTGCTCGCCTCTTTCCGCCCCGCCTGCCGCCCACCCCGTTTGGCCTCCTGGGTGCCACCCCCCTTCCTAGAAGGCAGCCACCCCCATGCACCCGCAGCCCTGGACACCCTTGAGGGCTGAGAGTCTATAAGGAGCTTCCCCAAGGAGGTTGGAGGAGCCCCCTGACATCCCTGTCCTTCCTTTCACCTCTGACATCCTCAGAGAGAGCTTGGCAGAAGATTTCCTTATGTAGCAGGGAGATGCCCGCGGGGGGACAGGACAGCATCGAGGTAGCCTGGGTGTGTACACTGCTATGTGTTGGGGAGGTTCTTTTGGATAAAAGGCATCCTGATTCCCACCTCCAATGGGACAAATTTGCCTCCCTGTCCCACTGTTCCCCAGAGTGGCTCTTGCACTCTGGTCCTCAGACAGAAGAAATTTCTGTCTTTGACTTGGACTGGGGGCTCTTCCTAATCTGCTTGCACACAGCCACGGCTGTGCTTTGGCCTGACCTCCGAGCGTTACCTGAAGACTTTCACACTCGGTTCGCATCTGTCCACCTCTGCCTCACCCAGGACACATACACAGCTAAAGTGCTCTCCCTCCCAGGATAGAAGCGGCCCACGACACATGCTCTCTCTGCAGTGCCCGGCCAAGGTATTCAGTAAAGAATTTCATGGTCGGACCAAGCAACAACAAAATGTCACCAAATTTCATGACCTTTGCTCAACCTGGAATATTTCCTTCATCTCCCAGAGGAAGTCTTAATAGAATCCAGCTTGAAGTTACAGATGCGAGCTTGGGGAGACAGTGTGCTTTTCAAGCAAGACCCCCAAACCAGCTAATATTTCATAGCTACAATTCAAGTACACAGATACCCGGGTTTGTGGCTTTTCCCTAGGTATGCAGATGATTCTATAAATGTACATACAAGCTTCTGGGCCGTGGATCTTCCTAATATGAGCAGAATCCTTAGTCCGTATCTGTTGCAGAGGTTATGCACATACGCACTTAGGAAAGATTAGCTCTCCTTGCCAATGCCCAGGGACGCAGGGTGGCAGAACTGGACAGAGCCGCGTTACCACACGTTCTGTACACAGCGCAGTGCACAGTACCGCTGCACGTAGGTGTGTATGCACTCATAAACAGTGGGATTTGAAATGGTATGTTCATCTGTGAGGATACACCATACATCCATTTTAGCTCAGCTGAACAATCTAAAAAACCCACAATTTCCCCTTTTTCTCTTGTGTTGTTTTGCCTTTTTCTTCTTCTCTCCCATTCCCTTTCCCACCCTTTCCATTTTTTTCTCACTGACCAGCACCCTGATCAGTTCTTCCCAAGCGCAGGACTCACCCACTGGATCCGGACTGTGGCTCGCTGGCCTCTGCTCTTTGGACCTGAACTCCTTGGCTGTTGGCTGCGATGGCCCAGGGCTGGTGCTTTTCCTGTGTGCTCTTGCCAGCGTCCGGGCCACAGGGCCCAGCTGTGCTCAGGCCAGGCTAGGCTCCAGTGGGGGGCTGTGAGGGAGGGAAAACAAGATTTTCCTCCTTTCTCTGTAGGGCTGGGGGTGGGGTGTGCAGCAGTTGTGCTGTCAGGACCAAGGGACCCCATGGAAGGGCCCCCCTCATTGGTGTCTTTGGAAGAAGGGCTCCAGGGGTCACCATCCTGTGTGCCTCCTATATGGTGGGTACAGTTAGCTGGGGAGAAAATAACGTTTAGGGGGAGGGTCAGGGTCCTCTGAGCATCTAGGCAAGGGGCACCCGCTTAGTGAACCTTTTAATAATTTGCCTGAGCTGGAGTTGAACTCCAGCCTGGTCCAGCAATGTTTTCTAGAAAGGTTTTTTTTTTTTTTTTTTTTTTTTTTTTTTTTTTTTTTTTTGAGGAGGGGGGACTTATTTCCTGGTCCCTCCACACCACCACCCAGAAGGAGAGGTGCAGACCCCAGGGGCTGGGGGGCAAGTCCATGCTCTCCCCTTTAGAATCGCCTCTCAAGAGAAGACCCAGACTTCCTCAAGCTGTCGTTTTCAAATTGCCCCTATTTTCCTAAGAAAAGCAGCCTGTGTGTCCCTTCCCCAGCCAGCTCCTGGAGCCCCAGGAATGTGGGACAGCTCCCCAGGAGGTAAGCGACCCACAGACCTGGGCTGCATTGCCTTCTCCCGCTTCATCTTTCCCGCAGGAGGCTGCCGGGCCTCCCAGACAGGCAGCTACAACGTCAGGGCCGGGCTGGGGCTGTGGAAGCAGGAGGGCAGGGCGCACTCAGAGCCCAGTACCTGCGCGGCTCGCGGCTTAAGGACAGCCCAGCACTGTGACTTTTCCATAAATAAAAAGCCCCGGCCCACAGTTTGCATGTCCTTTTAGACCCTAATTTATACGCTACAGAAAATCGTACTCAGCCGCCATGCTTCATAACACCGTTATTTATGGCAGGAGAGTTTTTATTATTATTTTGGCCTGAAGAGTGTATTTATCACAGGTAACGCCCACTGCACACTCCATAGGGCTGGCAGGTTGAGAACAGGTGCCTTGCCCGAGCTGAGGTCCACTCGCTAGGCACCCAGCCTCCTCGCTGGCGGCCGGGGAGCTCTGTGACGGTCCCCAGAGCCCAGACGCTGCTTAGAAGGATTTGCATCGGATCTTAGAAGGATTGGCCTCCCCCCCCACACACTTGTGTCCTATGGAAAAAGCAGATCTTCACGCTGCTTGGTTCCGGATCTGCCCGGCTGTCGCCCTCCTCGGAGAGCGGGGGTGGGCCAGGAGGGGGCCGGCTGGGCGCCAGCATTGATCTTTAAAAAATCATTTTGAAATCGCCATAATGTGAAGAAATATGGCGCAGCGCCCTCGTATTTCACACGTAATGACACGAGATGGCTTCATTTGGAAAGAAAAGCGGGCGAGAATGTGTCTGCGTGTCCGGAGGTGACCCGCGGCCTTCCCGGGGTAGAGGGGCAATTGCCAAAGAGATCAAACCCCAAGTTAGAATGGTCTCGCTTTTGTTGAAAAGACTGGGGTGGGGGTGGCGAGGCGGTGGCTCTGAGGGCGGCCAGCCTTCCAGTGGCCCCGACGCAGGGAATTGCCTAGAAAGCAAGCTGTGCTTACACCGAGCGGAGGGAGCCCTGCCTGTCTAGGGACTGTGCCTCCCAGCTGCAGGCCACGAGAGCCGACGGCACCCAGCGCAGAACCTGGAGGAGTGGTTTCTGGGAGTGGAGCCAGGACGCCAGCCGGTGGCCGCCAGGGAGACCCCGTGCAGGGCCGCACAGTGGATTCTAATAAACCGACTATTTGGAGCTGGGGGGAGGACAACGACAGATGGAGGGAAGCCTGACCCTCGGGCTTCCAGGCCCGCGGGTGCCTAGGCCCGCATCCTCATTTGAAGTCCCCAGAATAGCAGCAAAGGGCGGCCCCAAGGTCGCCAAGTTGGCCTGCGCTCCCCGCGTGGGAGGTGAGGGAACTCTAGCCTTCCCCTTTTCCGGATTCCCGCTCCGGGCACACCTCAGGGAAGCTCCCTCCTTTGGGCAATTCGAGGGTCCTGGGCGGTTTCCCCGGGAGGGAAGGAGAGGGTAATAGCTGGGCACCCAGGGAATGGAAAGGAGTGAGGGCGAGGATTGGCTTAGTTGTATTAAACCCTTTTGTGGACCCCACTTTGCGGGGCCCAGTTTCCGTCTGACCTCAAGCAGGTTCTAGTTTCAGGGCAGACATCGGATCCTGCGACATTGGTCCCATTTCCCTTCTCCTTACTCAGCTACTGAGGTCAGGGGAAGCCCCAGGACCTGTCCAGCTCCCCGGATCGCGCACCGCACCCCCTCCAGAACGGATAACGTCCTCTAAAACCCCAACTTCTCCCCATCGCTTTTCCTCCATCTCCTGTGGCTAGCTGGCTGCTGCTCTTGTTTAATAAACATCTTCTGTCAAGGGGACAGAGGAGGAAATGAGGGCCCGCGGGGCGGAGGCGAGGTGGGGGAGGGGCGGGCGACCTCTCCTTTAATTATCCTGCGGGGCCTTTCTGGCTGCGCCCTGGGCTGGGGCTTGCGCTCTCTGTCTCCGTCTCTCTCTCCCTCTGCGCCCTCCCTCCCGCCCGGGGAGCGCGCTCCGCAGCCCCCGCCTTTCTCCGCCCCCGCGCCCCACGCCGAGACCCCCCCTTTCCTGGGAAGGCGGGAGGGGGCGGCCGGCGCCCGGGCTGAGGTTACGTGGCCGCCGGAGCCCTGACGTGATAGCACATTGCATCAGCATAAAACAATCCATCCTCGATATGGAGCGCGGTGCGCACGGATGACAGCGCGAGCGCAGCCCCCGCGCCCGATTGATTGATGTCGGAGCTGACGCTTTATCAGGCTGTCGGAAAAACTTTGACCAATCATTTTGCACGGAGCGCCGAGCCGGGCCGCTCCACTGTACTTTGTTGGCTGAGAAGTTGAGCCGGGGGTGGTGGTGGGGGTGGCAGGTGGGGGGGCTGGGGGGGTCGCGTCCGAAAGCCCTCGCCCCGGTCCGGGTGCCACCTTCCTTCTCTGCCTGCTCGGGCGCCGCCGCGCCGCTGCGAGCGAGCCAACGAGCGCTCCCTTCCCCCTGCGAGCGGGCGCGCGGATAATGTCTGAGAATGTCCATTTCTGGGACGCTTAGCAGCTATTATGTCGACTCGATCATAAGTCACGAGAGCGAGGACGCGCCTCCAGCCAAGTTCCCCTCCGGCCAGTTCGCGGGCCCGCGGCAGCCGGGCGCCGCCGAGCACCTGGACTTCCCGTCCTGCAGCTTCCAGCCCAAGGCGCCCGTGTTCGGCGCGTCGTGGGCGCCGCTGAGCGCGCACGCGTCGGGGAGCCTGCCGCCAGTGTACCACCCGTACCTGCAGCCGCAGGGCGCGCCGGCCGCCGAGGGCAGGTACCTGCGCACCTGGCTGGAGCCCGCGCCGCGCAGCGAGGCCCAGGGCCAGGGCCAGGCGGTGAAGGCGGAGCCGCTGCTGGGCGCGCCCGGGGAGCTGCTCAAGCCCGGCGCGCCCGAGTACAGTTTGGAAACTTCCGCGGGCAGGGAGTCCGTGCTGGCTAATCAAAGACCCGGCTACGGGGACAATAAAATTTGCGAAGGAAGCGAGGACAAAGAAAGGCCGGATCAAAGTAAGTTATAAAAAAGTGAGGAGGAGGAGGAGGAGGAGGAGGAGCAGGAGGAGGAAATACTCCGGGCCGGCCGCGGGCCGGGCGAGGGAGGGGGGAGGGGACCCGCGAGGCCATAAACTGCGGACAATGTGCAGGCTGAGCGCGGCGGCGGCTGGGAGCCGGCGAGGTGGAGGGAGAGAGGAGGTAGCCAGGCAGCGAGAAGGCTGCAGAGGGCCCCGCTGGGCGTCCCGGAAGGGGACACCCAGCCGGCCTCACTGTTCGTGTCCTGCGCGGCTCCTCGCTGCCGCTGAGTCCCCGAGGGGGCCTGGGAGCCGACAGGAGACCCGCCCAGCCGGGCGCGGAGCCGCGGAGGCCGGGAGCCAGCGCGCACGGGCCGGGACGTACGGGGCCGCTGCTGACGGAGCCAAGCGCAGCCCGTCAGCTCGGCGGAGGGAAGGGGGAGGGGGCTCATTAGGATTTTATTTGCGATGCAACAGCTTGGCGAAAGAGGATGCCGCCTAGCAGATCTCGCGCTGCTGCAGCCGTGCGGGTCCGCAGCCGGCAGCCAGGGGGGCGGGGGAGTCCGGGATGCCGTGGCCGAGCCCCCTCCCGCGCGCCGGCCCCTCCCCGGGCGCCTTCCCCTCCGCGGCCCCCGCCCCTCGCCCGCTGGGTCTCTGCGGCCTCCTCGGCGGCTCCCGCTGCTCTCGGCGGGACTCCTAAGCCGCGGCCTGGGCTGCGGGCCAGGCGGGGAGCCCGGGCATCACTTCCGAATTCCGGGCCAAGCGGGGACGTCCCAGCGGGACCCGGCAGGAGCAGAGGTGGGAGGGAGGGAGGGTTGAGGAGAGGCGGAGAATTTCACCCTGCGTGGTTAGTTTCTCTTGTCACCTGCTCCTCCCCCCAAAGCGCCGCTGGAAGAACCCCAAGTTTGGCAAATTTCCAGAAGATGTTCTTGGTGGGGCAGCCAGAGGAGCGGGATCTGCGGCGTGAGGAGCTGTTTTTAAGGTTGAGGAGGGCACATCGGTTGGGAGCTCTTGGTTGCAAACAATGACGCACAGGCTGGTGGGCAAAGTCCTTCTGCCCTGCTCTTTTGGGGGCGCAGAGGTTGAGAATCCCAAGCCTCTGCTTGTCCTCTCGCCAGCAGGGTGGCCGACTGAGCCGCCCTTGCCTGTTGGACAGTGAAGAGCCCCGTGCTCGGGGGCCCCTGGGTCCGGCCACCTCCAAGTTGCCAGGTTGACTGAAGAGCTGACATTTGGGGAAACAGTTCTCCCCAAATCCTCACACCCGCACCCCAGCCACCCCACACCCATGCTCCAGACCCTGCCTGCAAAGCCCATTACTGCAAAACAGCTAGGACAGTAACAGTTTTTTTCCTCTTTCATACATAACGCAGCTGCGCGTCGCGTCCCGGGCAATCTCAGTAAGGAAACAGTGCTGTAGGCCAGCAAGACGCGGCTGAGTGTAGGAGGCACTGAATTTAGGAACAAACAAGCCAACAGAGAGACAAAACGCTGTGCTTTTCATTTGGGGGGAAGAAGGCTGATGGAGCGTGGGTGTTATTTTGAATTGGCTCAGCTTTACTTGGCGACTTTCCGGAGTTCTAGGGGTCTGGGAGAGCGTGAAGCCTGCCTATACTTCCGTTTCTTCCTTTGGACCCCTTTTCCACTGACTGCTTATTCCTCTTCCGCTCCACACCCAGGGCCCTTCAGAGGCCAGGTGCTGCCGGGAGGCCTTTCTGTCTCTTCTTTCTGCCTGGCTCCGCCCTGGATGGGAGCAGTGCTCCCCCATTTCCCTGAACTTCTGTTCTCCGAGCTGAGCAGCCGAAAAGGAGTCTATTGCAGCCATCCCTTATGCGAGCCCCGCGCTCCCTTGTCTAGGGCCGCCCTTGATAAATAGTTGCAATTGGGTTGCTGTGAATTGCAGTGCGCTGACTCTAAATGTGGACCCATACTTGTCCTGTGTGTGGTGGAGGTGGCTTGGGTGGACGGAGGGAGGATCTGGACCCTGATGCCAACGGTGGCTCCTGCTCTGGGGCCTAATGATGCTGGCTTGTGGTCAGACAGGGTCCTGGGCCGAGGGAAGGGCTGGGGGGCATCTCCTGGCAGTGGCTGAAACCCAGCCAGCTCCTCTCCCCTGCCCCACCTGTCTTCTCCCAGATTCAGCCAGGGACCTTCCTGGTCAGCCGCCCGCCCGTAGGCCAGCCTGGTGGGACTGGTGGGAGGTCTCTGATGTGCGTGCTAGCCAGTGTGTCCAGATAGGACTCGGAGCAGGCTGCGGCTGGGAAGCACCTGGAGGCCCCAGCGTGTGTTGGACTGCACCCTGGAAGGCCCCTTCCACCTGTCCAGAGCAGCGGCAGCCGCTCCATCTCAAGAACTTTCTGGGGACCTGGAGGCCTGGGTGCCCTGCCTCGATGCCAGATGGGGAGCAGTGCATCACCCTCTTCCTCGCTTTGATGCTCTCGCTGCTTCTCTTTCAGCCAACCCCTCTGCCAGCTGGCTGCACGCCCGCTCCTCCCGGAAAAAGCGCTGTCCCTACACCAAATACCAGACGCTGGAGCTAGAGAAGGAATTTCTGTTTAATATGTACCTCACCAGGGACCGCAGGCACGAAGTGGCCAGACTCCTCAACCTCAGTGAGAGACAAGTCAAAATCTGGTTTCAGAACCGGCGGATGAAAATGAAGAAAATGAATAAGGAACAGGGTAAAGAGTAAGGGCCACGCCCCGCGCCCCTGCCTGCTCAGCCGGCTGTGATCCGGTGACAGGGAAGGGCGCCCTCCTCCCAGGCTTTCCAGAGCCCCGGCCCTGTGTCCCTCCCTGCTCTCTGGGTACCAGGAGAGTTTTGTTCAGTTAGAAGCTAGCAGTAGTTGGTTCCTGAGAAGACAGTGGGCCAAAAGGCAAGAGACGCCCTAGTCAAGCTCCTGGCATCCCCTGGCCATTTTTCTGGGAACGCCAACCCCTCCCTTCCAGCCTGCTTGGCCCAGTGACCCCCTGCACCCATCTAAAGTGACCCCCAGGACACCCCAACTGCCCACAGCCCAGCACATGCCCCAGACCCCGGGGTAGAGTTTGGAGCCCAGAGTCAGAACGGGAATGGAAGAGAAATGAAGGGACACTGCCATGCCGGTGTGGTGAAAGTGCTCCTCCAAGCAGCCAGCCAGGCCTGGGTCCTCGCCCTGATACAGACGTGCCCCAGCGTGATGTCTAGACTCAGGGCTTACAGAGGTGCCACTCGCCCCCAGCCTCAGCACCCCCAAGGAGTGCCCAGCTTTGCCCCAAAGCCAGGGCAATCCAGCCCGCAGGCTGAGGGGCTAGAGGGGCAGCTTGGCGGTGTCCTGGGGCATCTGCACACGTCCTGTCGCAGGCGATGTGGAACTCTGCATGATGTTTTCCTGTCCTTCCAACAAGAGGTCAGCCTGGGTCGTGTCCCCCCACCCCCCCGCCTGCTCCTCTGCGCCCCATTTGGGGACTGCAGCTTTTCTTGCTTTCCACTGGCTCTGCTTCTCTGTGTCCTTTCCAGCTCGGCGCCCATCCCAGCCTGAGCAGTGAGTCCAGCTGCACCTTGTACAATTCCTTACCCTCCCTCAACCCCCAGGTCAGCCCCACCAGCTCTAGACAGAAGGCCAGATCAGGAGACTCTGATGGACAGACGCAGAATTTATTGGAAATCCATTCCCCAGCTCTCTTCCGGAGTTGGCTGGCAGACAGAGAGAAGCAGAGGCCCCAAGGTACAGACCTGGCCCCTCATCCCCTCTTGTCAGCTCCCTGAGCCCTGAGGAGCCCCAGAGGCTGCCCACTGGGCTTTGCCTCCATGGCTGCAGCCTGGCTGGGCTTGGCAGTGCTGGTGCCTGGCCTAGCAGAGGCCACATTGCCCCAGGCCTCAAGAAAAGCTCATTTTGCTTTGCATCTGACCCTGCTCCCCGCTCTCAGTGCCCCCCCATAGCTGGACTTGCCCCTCCCCTGACCCTGCGAGGGGCCATCCCAGTAGAACTTTTTTTGCTTTGTCAGTGGCTGTTGTGACATTGTGCTTGTGTTTTGTGATTTCTTTGGGGATGATTGTCTCGCCTGTTTTCAGTTGTGGCTTCTATGGGCGGGGAGGGTGGCGGGTGGGACTGGGGAGGTCTAGGGGCCTAGAGCTCTAATTGTTTGTTTTGGAAGAAAAAGAAAAGAAAAAACAAAAAAATATATATCACTCCAGAAAATAAACCTTTCTGAGTCTTATTCTGCTCTGGCTTCTTCTCCCCTGGCCCTAGGTAGAGACTTCGGTCGTTATAAGCAGAGTGGAAAACAGAGGTGGTTGTGTGCCCCATACTCTGTTCCTCCAGGTCCCCAGAATTTGCAAAGCATGGTCCCTGTAGAGCTGTCTGCTTCAGTGCAGTGACAGCCACCAACACCCAAGGTCCCAAGCCTAGGGTGACCATGAAACCCAAGGCTCTCCACAGACTGTGGAGCGGAGGAGCAGGACAGGAAGCAGCCGCGTTGCAGGCCCGGTTGTCCTGGGACCCTGGCTGCCCTGTGAGCCAGAGGAAGGAAAAGCTTTGGAGTCCTGAAAGGTTCCCACTGTCACCTTGGTCTGGCCACTCAGAAACCTCAGCAAGAGAAAAGGGGGAAGAGCGAGCCTGGGTCCGAGGGGTCGCAGGATACTGCACGCCACAGAGGCTGGCAGACGCTTAGGCTGCTGGGATGGTGGAGCCTGGGAGCTGCGTGCCCCTCCGATGACGCTGGACCCACAGAATGGCAGGCTGGGTCCCAGACCCTGGGTTTCCTAGGGGCCGGGGGCGCTGAGATGGGCGTGGAGTGTTGAACAGCATCTCAGGAGGGGAAAAATGATTTCCTTCCAGCGCCAGAATTAAACTTGGTTGCAGGCGGCTTCTAGCTGTTCCTCTCAGCCTCTAGGCCAGGCCAGTTAGCACCCAGCAGTCGCTTTGCTTCCTCTGCGGCAGCAGCTGCACCTGGGCTCTGGTTTCTCCCTGTCCATCCTTCCGCAAGGCCGCCCTCCAGACCATGCGGGTGGGGACAGCTTGGGGACAAAAGCGGGCTGCGTTGGAGGCTGCCTGCTCGGGCCTGGCCTACCCCTCTCTAACGAAAAGAAGATCGCTAGGCGAGGTACAGGAGGTCACGCAGCTCTGGGCTCGGTTCCGCAGGTCCCGGCTGACAGTCACCAAGGAGGGTTCCATTGGGGATGGCGAGTGAATCGAGCTTAGCAGGCTGACTTGGCATCCCGCGCTCCCCGCGTTCAGCCGGCGCTGACAGTAAACCAAAAAGGCCAGCTTCCGCCGAAAGGAAACGCGGAAGGCCGGGCTGGAATTGGCTGGAGCGCTGCGAGGCGGGGTCCCGGGTGCCCGCAGTGGCCTCGGGCGGTAGCGTCTGGGTCCCCAGCTCGGGAGTGGCTCGTTTCTGGACAAAGGCGAGGATTCGGAGGCTAGGAAGCCGGAGATGGGGAAATCAGTTGTCATAAAAGAGAGCGATTCAGAGAGGGAGACCGAGAGAGTACGAGGCTGCGAGAAGCCAGGAGAGGAATTCAATGCCGTGTGCGCAGCAATAAAAGGATATGACCGCTATAAAAGTTTATAGCGTATAAATTTCTGAAGGTTAAGAAACTAAACAGCCCCAAAGCAAACAGAGGAGAAACTTTCCGGAGCTGAGAAGGAGCGCACGCATCCGCTGGGCTCAGGCGCCCTGCCTCGCAGGAGGCATGGGTGGCCCCGACCTGCAGCCCTTCCCGCCCTGGGCCGGGCCAGGGCCAAAGGGGGAGCTCAGAGGGGGTGAAGGGAGGGGCGCTTTGTTGCTGTAGTAAATACTTTGGCCATGACAGTTTGGACTCGTCTTTGTTCTTCACACCCTCTCCAAACCCAGGCGCTGGGATCAAGAAGTCCCTGCGCACACACGTGCACGCACACATGCCCACCCGCGCACACGCACTCGCAGGTCCCCAAGGCCAGACGTCCGGGCCAGGGCAGCGATGTTTCACAGTCCCATTCCGTCCTCCTCTCCCCACAGAACAGCCCAATTGTTACTCCTCAGAACCTGAAGCAATCCTGTGGGCTTTGGAAAGTGGGCATGTAGCCCTTTTCCAGGCCATAAACGAGGGGCGCTCCTGGGCCAAGGAAGGTTTAAGTAGGGGGAAAAAAGAAAGCAAACCGTGGAACCTCTTTTCTTTCCCGCCTCTTTCTTTTTTCTTTTAGGTCATCTGCACAATGTTGAGAACCTTTTCTCGATCGCGGTGTCTTTTTCTCCGCTGTGGCTTTCCTTCCTTTTTATTTTTTTTGCAGCTCTGTGTGCGCCCCTTGGATCTCGAGGAGGCTGAGGGCGCCTTTTCACAGAGCGCCCGCTAGATGGCACCCTTGCTCCACGTGTAAATCGCGGGCGCGGTGGCGGGCGCCTCCAGCGGCTTCACGCTGCACCTTGTACCGCCCTGCGCCTGAGAACCGAGGGGTACCAAAAGTCATGAATAATGGGCGTGAAATAAAAATGCAGGGATCGTTATCGCCCTTTTCCCCCATTTTTATAGGTTTCGGATATCGTGGAGTCCCCCTCCCTCCCGCTCCTCAAATGGTCAATTTTCTGATTTCTCCAGCGAGGAAGGCAGCGTTGGGCAGCGTTGCAATGGTCGGTGGGGCAACGAATGTGCGAACACGGGGAATCACAGGAAGGATAGGAATAACGGGGTGCAGATCGAAAGGCTTGATCTGGAAAACATTGAGCTTTTTCAAGCAGGGGGGCAGAGCAGTGTCCAGGACGCGGGTGAGCGGGTCAGGTGAGCGGTCGGGCTGGGGAGGGACCGGCGAGAGGCCGCTCTTAGCTGCCAAGGCAACCGGTGAGCAGGTCGGAGGCACCAATTTGGGGGCCACAGAGCCCTGGTTCTGTGGGGGCTCGGAGGTGCCGCAGCCTGGCCGAGCACCCCCCGCGTGGGCGCAGGATCCGGAGCCTTTGTGAGTTCCGGGCGACCGAACGTGGGCCAAGGGTCTCCCAGGGCGGCGAGCCGCGGGGAGCTTGGGGTGTCTCCTCAGGATGCTCTGGGTACCTCAAATTGGTGTCCACTCCCCTAAAAAAAAAAAAAAAAAGCACCCTTTCGGCTAGGTGTAGGGGCAGGTACTGCCGCGGGGCACAGGAGCGCGGTGTCCCCGGAGTTCGGTGGCTTCCAGATGAGATGGGCGACCCCCGGCTCCTGGGAACCCCCGGTGCAGCGGAGCTTGGGGGCGCCGGTGTTTCTGTCGTTCAGCAGCCCGGGCCTGGACTCGGCGCTCTGCACTGAGATCACGACCCGTCAGCCGCCACATTACAATTTTGCAATTTCCTCCCGGCTCGGCCGGCCGATCCCTTCTTCCCTTTCTGACAAACCTGTGGGGGAAAAAGCGACACCCACCCTCCCCAAGTTGTCCCAACCTCCCCTCTTTTTCCTTCTCTCCGGATCGGGGACGAAGAGGCAAGCTGAGTTTCTCCTCAACTTGAATTTCTCTAATAAATCTGCGCTCCGTTGGGTGTTTATAAATTATCTCCCGGCTCTAGCTTGTTTTTTCTTATAATAGAAACATTTTCCTTCCATCAGAAATTTCTCATGCGGGCGCGGTGCAGGGATAATTTAGGACAAGCTGTTGAATTCCACTTCATAGGTGAATCCTCAAATCATGACCATAAAATGGTCGATCCCTCAACAACTTGACCCCGGCTTCCGAGGCCCTGAGCCGCGCTGAAAGCCCCTACCTGGTTCTCAGCTCTCCTCTCTCCTCTCCTGCACCTCTCCCAGTCCTCTAAGCTTCTCTTTAGAAGGGCTGCGGTGACCCCCGTGGTATCCCCCCTTTGGCCAGGGTGAGGCTTTCATTTTTGCCTAAGTGGGGGTGTCCAGCTCCCCAAATGGCACCTCTGGAAAGCAAACCACTGAGCCCTGAATAAACAATGAGCCGAGCTTGTGGGCCACTTGTGGGCCACTTCCTTCCGCCTCACTAGCTAGAGATTGTCTTCCTTTCTCCCTTTCCTTCCTCCCTTTCTATTGCCGGCTACCTGGGGAGGCCAGGAGTTCCGACCTTCAGGCCCACCAATGTCCCCAGGCCAGGTAGTCAGGGAGACAGTGGGCCCTGCTTGTCACATTGGCCCAGCTCGGCTCTGCCTTCTGGGTTCCAAGGCCTTAGGTCCCCAGGTCTGCAGGGAGAGCCCGGGTTCTCTAGAGGCTCCCCAAGGAGAGAAGGCAGAGGGAAGCTCAGTGGCCTTACTCTCCAGAGATCCCTCCACCCCAAGGTCAGTGTAGGTAGCACTGTGGCTCAGTGGGCCGGGCACAAAGGGCCCGCGGTTCCTGCCCCAGCAAGCAGCTCCCAGCCACTGCCCACGGCAGCAGAGAAAAAGGACAGCAGTGGCCAAGGCCTGGTGCCCAGGGCAGCCATCCCTGCCGTCCCTGGCTCTGATGTGTGGGTGAGATCGCAGGCCCAGGTGGAAACTCGGCCTGGCAAGGTTGGGTTTCTGGGCCTGGGTCAGGCATGGGGCAGCCCCACTGGGTGTTCCTCTTCGGTGGTGCTTCACCCCTCTTCCCTCACAGTGTTCTCCCCTAAAGTGTGGAGCATCTTCAGGAGACCCCCAGCACCCCTTCCCCAGCAGGCCGAGGCCGTGCATACCCGCAGCCCTCTTCTGCCCATAACCAGGAAGTTCCTTCTTCTCTCCGATCTTCCCCAGACCTCCTAGACCCCTGCTCCACAGAAAACCCCTTGCTTGTTTGTTTAACGAGGGCAAAGTTCTGTGAGTGGCTGGGCGGGGCGGAGGGGGGAAGGCCGGGGCAGGTGCCTGGCACGGGGGCTGCAGGAGCCCAAAATCTTTAAAAAAAAAAAAAAAAAGTCACTGCGCAGGAAAAAAAAACACCCCAAAAACCCTCCATAATCGTCCTCATTTCAGCTTCCTCACCCCCACCGAGCTGCAGTCGGCGGCGGGGGCGATAGAAGCTGCAGTTTTATAGCTGTAGAGGAAAGAACTCGTAAAATGCTAACAGCCTTTATGCGCTGCGGCATAAACAACAACAGACTCCGGCTTTATTGCATTTTATAGTTTGTTAAAGAGTTTACAGCCGTTTTTTGGGGGGCCGGTTACCCAGCCAATTCCCTGCACACGATAGTTAAACCTTTATCAATAATAAGGAAATTGATCATTAAAGCTTTAAATATGACTACCTCGTTTGTTTGAAAATATGTTTAGGAGAGGAAGCTGTATGATTTGATAACTTGTATTAAAATACCAATTACATTTATAGGACCTTTTAAAACTCGGCGCAATTAAACCGTGTTCTTTTACATTTTTCCGAAGCGACCCTGACATTTAGAAAGACTCCAACTGCCTCGTTAAAATCGCGAAATTAACAGCGGTGCCTGCGCCCGGCGCGCGTCGTGTCTGTGCGCGCGCGCGTGGTTTTTTTCCGCGACGCCCCCACACCAGCCTTTGGGGGTGGTCCGCGAAGGTATTTGATTTGTTGGGAGGCGAGAGATATCTCATTAATGTAGGTAGTTAAACAGCTTTAATCCGTATTCCTCCTCCCGCGCCCCTCTCCCTCTCCCCCCGCGCCCCCGCTCTCCCTCTCCCTGGGTGCATGCTCCCTTCCCCTCCTTTTTCTCCGCGCTCCCCAGCTCCCTGGCGCTCTCGCCTCTCTCTCGCTCTCTCGCTCGCACCCTCGCTCTGCGTCCTGTCCGGGAGGAGTACGGAGAAGCCAATAGGATGCGGGGTCTCTAATGGATGCAAATGATCGTGAAAAGACAGTGCAAAATATGAAACAACTCATTTGCAGGGAAGTAAATCACCGAAAACTGTTTATGAACTGGCATCCCTTCTTCGAAATGTAAAGCGCGGACCTCCTTAAGCGGCGGTAGATTTGGGCGCGGGGGGTGGGGTGGGGGAGGGCGCCGCGGCTGCAGCCGCGAGCGGAGACTTTGGGCGCCTTCTCGGTCCTTTTGGCTATTCCTGGAAATCACCAAAAGTGTGGCGGCTTCTAGATCTTCTTCGCCTTTTTCTTTCTTTTCTTTCTTTTTTTCCTTTCCTCCTCCCTTCCCCTCTCCTTTCCTGGCGAGGGTGACCAAGGGCCGGCGAATCCGCGTTTTGTCTCTGTCTCTGTCTCTCCCTCTCTCTCCCTCTCTCTCCCTCCCTTTCCCCCTCCCCACCCCTCCCCACCAGCCCCCAACTACAGCCTCCGCCGCCGCCACCGCCGCCTCAAAATTCAATAAAATGAGCTCTTATTTCGTCAACTCACTGTTCTCCAAATACAAAACCGGGGAGTCCCTGCGCCCCAATTACTATGACTGCGGCTTCGCCCAGGACCTGGGCGGCCGACCCACCGTGGTGTACGGTCCCAGCGGCGGCGGCAGCTTCCAGCACCCGTCGCAGATCCAGGAGTTCTACCACGGGCCGTCGTCGCTGTCCACCGCGCCCTACCAGCAGAACCCGTGCGCCGTGGCGTGCCACGGGGACCCGGGCAACTTCTACGGCTACGACCCGCTGCAGCGCCAGAGCCTGTTCGGCGCGCAGGACCCAGACCTGGTGCAGTACGCGGACTGCAAGCTCGCGGCCGCCAGCGGCCTGGGCGAGGAGGCCGAGGGCTCGGAGCAGAGCCCGTCGCCCACGCAGCTGTTTCCCTGGATGCGCCCGCAAGGTGAGCTCCGCCGGGGCCGGCCCCGGGGCGCGGGGGCCGGAGGGGGCGCGGGGCGCGGGCCCAGGCGGGGCAGGGGCTGAGCAGGCCAGCACGCAGCGCCTGCGGCTCCCAAGGACTCCGGCTGCACTGCAATCTCCTGGTGCCTCTTCACCCTTCTCTTTTTCTCTCTCCCTTTTTTCTTTTTTCTTTTTTTTTTTTTCCTTTCTCTTTCCCTTTTTGTTTCCTTTAAGGGGGGGGGGGCTCGCGGAGCGACATTTCCTGAATCCATAAACCCCTCACCCTCCTTATTTCTCCTTTTCCCCTCCTTTTACTGTTTTATGGGGGGTATCGGAAAAAGGGGAATGGGAGTGGGGGCGCTCAACTTTTGCACTTTTCAATTGCTTTATAGTTTAATTACCCTGAAGAAACTTTTCTTCTGGGGCAGAGGCTCAGGGGGCTTTTCAAGGTGGGTCCCTCCGTCCCCACCCGGCTTTTTATTCTCATCCCCCTTCACATCCTTCCTTCGCAACTTTATGGCACTTTTAATGGAGCCGAGCCACCCCCTCAACTCTGGCGCTGGCTACTAGGGGAGGGGGCTCCCCCTTCCCGACTCCCTTGGATTCATTGCTGTTTGAGCCCCCCCCGCACCACACCCCCCTTCCGCGGCCTCCCTCCCCCCGCCCCCAGGCAGTGGC